TGTGGACACAAAAGCTGAATACAAGCCTAAAGCAAAAATGAGCATGTAGTCTCATTCACTTCCCATTAGAAAGTACAAAACAACCTCCTGGCTACATGTGAAACTTTTGGACAAGGTACTACAAAGAACCACGTGTGTCCTATATGGTATTGAACACCATCAATACCTCCTGACTTCAGTGGCTGTGAAGACTGATAGGCAATTTTCCTTAGAGTTGGTGGCAATGAGGTAGATAGGAGTGCATAAGCAAGTGAGCATTGCAGGGAACTGTGATGTTTGGCCATAGAAGGCCACTCCATTTATTTATGCCTTTTGTCTAAGTGCATCCCAATATTGTCTCTAAATCAGGTAGATCACACTGAAAAACTACCTCAAGGAAAAACTGCTTTTCTCTAAGCACAGGAAATTCCAGGTGTAGAGATATTAGCTTGTGCTCACAAGTGAGGCTGAATGTTTAATCTAATTGCCATTGCTTTTCAGACCATTTCTATAACGTAATTTACTTACACAATGCTTTCGACATGTACTTTGAGGGGATCTGAACTCCATCCTAAGAGTTCCTGATAATGCAAATAAACCCTAATGATTTACTGAACAGTATCATGGTTTAGATGAGCATAATTGCTTTAGCTTCTTCCAAGATTAGAAAATCTGCACACAGACAAAGGCCAGCTCAATAAACTGAAGGACTTAATTTCTGACTTTGCCTACTGTATGACATGCCAGTCTTTGTGCCATTTCTGCATTTCAAAGGAGACACTTTCTGCAGCCAAACAATGTTCTCCAATGCTCTTCTCTGGGTTTGTCAGGTTCCCCTCCCCTTCTCTAACAAGCTTAACATTTTCTGTGGCTCTTTGTGCTTCCTAAATAGATGTTAATTTTGAGAAAAGTCCTTAACCCAGTTTTAGAGATAAATTTCCATTCTTCCAAGATACAAGAAAACATTGAAAAAGCCTTGAGAAAGAGGCCTACCAGCCACCAAAGAGATAAGGTCCATTATGGAGGACTCTGGTCTCTGTTCATGGAACTTTAACACACTTCGGGTTTGACCAGAACATCTGGATTGGTTCTACTGCGCACGTTCTTCCCTAGCATTAACATTCAAGTCAGCACGCTCTTGCTGTTCAGTTGCCAAAATGCTTAGAAGCTACCAGTAGAAAGGTAACAGTTTCAAGAGATCTCAATAGCAGGCCTTCTTATCCCTACAATAAAACTCACATTCATCGACCTATCCTACCTCCTAGAAAAGAAAGTGATTTGGAGCTATGCTTTAACTTAAAACCACAGTCTGCAGACCTTAAAAGTGGTTTGCTTATGATTCAGCTAGTGACCCAGTTTCTAAGGACCAATGAAATCATGTGTTATTTCTTGCTGAATAGGAAACGAGTCTGCTTTGTTCATCTTGTCTGTACATGAGTTACCATACCAAAACCATAGAGACAGCAAATGGTGGTTTGGAAGACAAAGTTTTTGTTTGATTCCATTAGTCAATTAATATAGCTGGAAACTGGAGGAATGGGAACAGGGTGAGCTTTTAAGAGGTTTTTCAGTTTCTAATAATCTAGAATATCCTTTTAAATCAGCACTGATAATGCACAACCACAAACACATGACCTTAGCTAGTCACAGATAAAATAGAGAAGTTCTTTTTCATGCCCTCTCTCTTTGCATTCTGGATACACTGAACAAACGTGCTTGTGCAATACTTCTTGACACCATGGCCTAGATTCTCCACTGGTACACATCAGCAATGCCCCACTGATTTCCATGTTGGTTTACTGTGATTTACTCCACCTGAGACTCCATCCCTCCTCATGCTTTTGATATTCCATGCTTTTGAAGGAAATCTTTATAGCAGCAAAATCACTATTTCTGAGATTGATCACATTTCTGGGAGCAGTGAAGGAGTTAACTATACAAGTATTCAGCATCAATGTTATGCCTGACCCCTGGAGCAATCCAAATCCTGGTACACATCCCACTGTCAAATTCTTTATTTCCCCTCTGACCTTCTTTTAGCCAACTCAAAACAGTTTTTTCCAGAAACACCAGTGTAGCCTCGCTGAACCATCAGCATCCTGATACATTTATCCGCTATTTTACAAACACAATGTAAAAATAAATTTAATGATTCGTTAAAGTTGCCATCAAAAAGCAGCTGAGGCCACATTGATCTGAGGACACTATTATTAAGTTAAACCCATCATTCTTCCTAGTTTTGCTCAATATGCATTTCCTACGTGCTTCTCCATGTTAAGAGTGGGTTTTTTTTTTCAGTCAATGAGTCACAGTATTGTGCACTTAAATTAAAATAAAACCTGTTAAGGCAGGTAAAGCCTTTCTAGGTTGCCTAACCCTGATTGTTTCAGGCTTTGCAATCTGATATTCCTTCCATTCCAAAAAATAACTGGGACACTGTCTATAAAAATAAACAAAAAGTATGGAAATGCTTGAGCAGACTTTTTTTTTCTCAAAATCCTAAGTCTTCCTTTCACCTCAGTTGCTTTACCCTTCCATGAGAACTTCTTATCAATGCCTCCCTCATGCAACCTAAACATTTTCATCACTGCCATTACAGCATTTTCGGTCTTGCACCAGTGTCTAGCCTACTCTGAACCATTGGGGAATTGCTACACTTGTTTCATTCTCCACCCCTGTTAGCAAGAAGCTACATGTGACATGAAGCAAAATTGTGGTTTTCTTCCAGTAAAGTGTACTTCTTGTTTAAATTTCTCCAATCTAGACAGTTGGCCAACTGTTTTTGGATCAGAATAATCTAAAAATGGATACTTTTGCCCTGTTCAAATGATCTGATTAGTTTCACAAAAGACAAACAAGAGAACCACAACTGCACTGCGGGTTTGACTATGCAATGCATTTATGTTGCTGCCTAAATAAGGGTCAGCATGCTGGATGAAACTTGTCAAGGACCCAGAGCTGTTTTAGAAATTTGAGTCTCCATTTAAAGACTAAAGGACCAAAGCCTCAAATGCTTTAAACTGGCATAGTCCCATTGGAGTCACCCTTTATAGCACCCAAATATTTATCATCATTGCAAGGAAGATACCATTTACTTTTTAAAATAAAATGATCAAACTGAGTTTGTCCATGAATAAAAAACTGATTTTCCTTCCTGTAAAGTATAGGGCATTTTGCAACATGGACTTTTTAATAAGATCGCTATTAGCTATATTAAGAAGTTCTCCCCGTGGCAGCAACATCCAAAGCGTGACCTCCAGACACTTGACCATAAAGCTACGTGTACCTTCATTTTTAACTTGTAGATGAAGCCTAAAAAGATAAATTCTCAGCACAGCTAGTGAGGAAGAAGATTTGGGGTATGATAGAGCAACCCACGCTGGGACAACCAATCTATATTGTTTGCATCTCTGTCTTAAATACTATCCCCTCCACACAGCACCACTCCCAATGACCCATTTAGGCAGATACGAGGCTATCAGGCTACTGGCAAACTTTTAAAGTGGAATCAGGTTAGACAAAGGTTAAACATTTCTGCTGTACGAATCTGACCCACAAAGCAGACTTCTGACCCACATCTGGAAATTTCAGGGTTCTGAGGAATAGCAGCCGGTAGCAGAGAGGTCAAGAACTCTGGTTTCAAACATCTGCCTATTCATTAGACTAGCTCATGCATAGCAAAATAGACTTTCTGAGTGCTGTCCATTGCAACAGGAATAAAAAACAAAGGGCTTAATCCTTCCCTCAGTCACACTTGTGCAATTCCATTGACATATATGGGGTTTCATAAGTGTAACTAAGGACAGAGCTTGCCCCAACATTTCTTCAGCATAGAATTTCAAGGGAAGCAAGCCTCACTCGTGACCGAGCCAAACACTGCCCTCAGCTAAAACCTGTGCAATTCCTGTCTTGGAAGAACAAAGTTTGTACATGTATCTTAGCTAGATATACTTCATGAGACAGATTTACAAAGAAATTTGAGAGCTTAAAGATGCCTAGTAGGATTACAAAAGTACCTGAAGTGGTTAGATGTCTGACTCCCATTGACTTCTAAATGGTTTAGTTGCATTTATACACTTTAGTAACTTCAGAAGCTTAAATACCTTTCAAGTCTGCCCTTGCATGATTAGACTGCTAGTAATAACACCGGAGTTGCCTGCTTATCTCTACTCTTGTACTGTATTGCCTTTTATTAGGGTTCATGTGTGCTAAAGAATCTATCGTAGGGTTTTCCATAGTGTTCATCACATTACTGTATCTTTTGACAATATAAGCAATGGATAGATTGCACACAGAGTGAGGCTGATCCTCCTGATCTGAAGGGAGAAACTACACTGAAAGTAATGGTATTACCCCAGTGCAAAACTCAAATTCCTAAGACATCAGTCAAGCCCTTTACTTGAACTGGAGAAATCTAAGCATAATGGAACAGCCTGCAGGGGGAAAAAAAGGGCAAATTGGATACATCCTACTTTTATGCAACATAAGATTACATGGGAAAAAATGTGGAAAATGAATACAACAAAGCCTGAGTAGCTGTGCCAGTTCTGAAATATTTCAGTGGGGTCCTGGTGGTTTTAAATTTTACAGAAATAAAGAATGAAATAGTAACCACCATGCTGTTTAGACTACAGAAAGTGTAATGCTCCATCCATAGTCAAATAATTTCTGAACTTTATATATGCAAGAAATAAAAACCGTGTACAGCAACTAGTATGAAAAAAAAAATGACAGTGAGCGTGCCAGTGCTCCTTTGGAGCTATTTCAGGGACAGGATGCCAGTAGTAACTTGGATTTTATTTCAAAACTTACTGGAAGGAGAAATTCCTCCGCCCATCAGAAGGGTTGAAGTAAAATGAAAAAAGAGAGGCATTTCTTTGTAAGTGTCAGTCATTAACAATTTTTTGAACCATTTTTAAAAACTGCTGATATTTGTCCAATGGTAAATCAGCAGGAATCTGGAAAAGCACTTTAGCTCTGCTTTTTAAAGGAAAGACATTCAAACAATTTTTGGGTGGTACCTGTTGAAGTTAATTGGGTACAGAATGATGTCCTCTGGTGTTCCCCCATCCCAATGAATGGTATAAGCTTGCTCCAGCATCACCACAGGTTGGTACTGTTGGTATGGTACTCCTCTATTGACGCCTTGCAGCCTCAGGGGATGAGAATAGTATGTCGCTCTGGCAATTGATAAGGTTAGATTCTCAGGACGTCTGGCCTGAATATAAAGCTGTGAGTGAAAGGAAAAGGACAAATACATTCATTAGACCATCCAGGCTCTGTCTTAACATGCATGTTTGATCATCATTCCCTTTAAATGATTTTGCTGATGAAGAGCTCAGAACATTTGGAAAGCCACTGAAGTGCTTCCAATTCAAATAAAGACATACAACAGGCATAGACATTTCATAGCCATTTCCATGTGCTTGATTAGGTGACATGAGGAATATGGCAGGAAAAATATTTATAATTCAACCTCAAAGTGAAAAGGTTAATTAAAATAATATTTAGGCACTTTTTTTCCTTAAGAGCGTAAAGATTTACCATTTAAATACCCAGGGCTACAGGTCTGATCCCATCTCCACTGAAGACATTACAATTCTTTCCATGGACTTCAGTGGGCTTCGGATCAGGGTTAATTTTGTAATGGAACCCACAGCTGTTTTCAGGTTCAAGACTGCAGTGATGCTGCTGGGAAGCAGTAAATGAAGAGCCTTCCAAAAAACTTCCTTACAATTCAAGGAATGTATTACACAATCCATAGCGTGACTTCTTTTCATCGAGGTGAACAGATGCCCCCAAAAGGGAACAGAATTTGGATTCACCCAAAGGAGGAATTACAGTAAAACACACCTCTAATGATTCTTGGGTCCTGGCCAAAAAAAAAAAAAAAAAAAAAACAAGGGAAAACTAGTTCATGCGGAAAAGCCATTTCAGCCTTCGGGGGGAATACTTAGTGCACATCAGCTAAGGGCTGTGGGGTGCCCTGGGGCAGCAGCAGGATACAGTTCTATTCATATGCACATCTGCTAGTGTAATGTTAACATTTCTGAACATTGTATAGAGCCGACTTGCTCCTTGGACAATTTAAAAATAAACCGAGGAAAACTCAGAACACATCCAGTCCCATTTCCTTCTCTCTCATGCTGTTAAAAAAAAAGGCACTGCTTACTTTTTATAACATTGCAGACCCTATGAAAGAGCAGTAGAGAGGAATTCTCCAACAGCTTTAAGTGCCACATGTGACAATGGAAAGCGAATAATGCACGCTTGGACAGGGCAGTGGACAGGACAACCAGCCATCTGGGTTGTAATCCAATCTGCCACTATCCTCCTAAAACATCTTGGGGTGCCGACTTCTCTGTACTTATTCTGTCACCCCTTACTTCACCATTTTAGAAGAGGGGACTGTCTCTGACTATGTTCATGGACAGTATCTAGGACAATAGGGTTTTTATCTTAGCTGAGACATATAGGCGCTACTGAGACATTAAAAATAATGTGACTTATTAAAAAATAGGGCTTATTTAAAATGGGAAAGGCCTTGCTGTATTGACCCAATAGTTTACATGTCGTATTGCAGCCAAGAAGCAGGTGTTTGCATGCCAGATGACTCAAAATGCTGCAACCTCTTGCTGCTGCTTTCTTGGAATGTAATACCTTGGTGTCAGTAAAATTCATTTAACAGGAGAGTGTGCCACATATCTAGCCAGGGGATTATTTAACCTATGGCCTGCCTCTGGCATGGTATTTTTAGAAACAGGTTTCAACTTGGAATCTAAAGTCAAGATATTTAAGTCTGAATGTCTATCCAGTTAAGATCCTAATCTAGAGACCCCATTTTCAAGAGGAGCTGAGCACTTGCAGGTCCTACTGTTTTCAATTAATCTGATGCTGTTTGGCATTTCTGGAAGGCTGTGGCCAGGAGCATAGACACCCAACTTTGAAAAATGTGCCCTAAAGTCACAAAAGATAATCTCAAAATTGTTCTATAATTTTCACAGACCACTGGTCAAATCTTGCATTCACACCAGTGCAATCCTGTCAAGATTGACTTAATAAAAATAGTAACTCTGGTTCTGAGAACCACATGAAGACCCTTAAGGGTTACACCCAATGCCAGGACTAACTAACTTTGCTGTCAACACTGTAGACCACAACTCTCAAAAATAATTTTCCAAGCAAAGTTCATTTACTCATTCCTTAATACCACAAGAAAGAATAAATTTTAGATTCCGATGAAAGACATTTTTTACTTACGAAACCAAAGAAGAAAAATCTATTTGCCTTCAATATTCAAACTGTTGATAGGGAGGTCAGAGCTGTGCCATGCAGTCAAATAATGTATCAATCACATTCAGCATGTCAGATTGAACTGATATGGCTGGTGCTATGCAGGTGGTCAGATTGGATGATCAAGAAAATTTCTTCAGGCCTAAAAGTCTATGAATTTATGTATAGGTTTGACCTGAACAGTGTTATTCTGACTAAGAAACATTAGAAGGAAGTCAGCTACCGCAAAACAATGTTCCAGTTCTGTCTTTCTATATGGATGTCAACAGTTTTCATCACTTCATTTCTAACCTTTGAAGTCTGCAGTTTGTTTCCTCAAATATGTGTCCAGTAATCACAAAATGTTTAGGTAGTAAATAAAGAGCATATTAAAAAATTAAAAATAAGATCAGCAAAAGCCCCCAAAACAGTGAAACATTCAAGGAAAAACAAAAGGTTCTTGAATTCCAGTATATCAGAAAAAGAAAGCCTTCCTAAATATTTCAGGATACTTTAACAGCTGAAAAGTAAGTAATTGTGTATTGTAGACTGGAATGTCCACTGCAACTGATAATGGGTCCAAGAAAAGGTTGGAAGAGTTTATTATATGCTTCCAAAATAGAATGATAAGGAGCAAATGTCAAATCGTTTAACTGGTGATAACATTTTCTTAAATGCCTAGGGACTCAGTTACAGACTGAACTAGAAGGCTAATAATTTCAGTTACTTTCACAACAATACAGTAAGTGTTATAATGAAGAAAAATGCATCTCTTGTGGTTAAGGAAAAATATTTGTAAACTTACTTCATACATTACTGCAGCCAATGCATGAAGAATTTTCAGTATAATAATTATCAAGTATGTTTTCAGCTGTATAATACAGGACTTAGTTATCTGGTAGATGTTTTGAAGCTCATGTAATCATTTTTACTAGCACTGAGCAATCAGGGTGTTCAAAAGCCCTGGCCCAGCAAAAAAAAATTCTTTATTTGCAAGCTTTTGGGCACATGCACACTCCTTCAGGCATAGGAGAGTGTAAAGATTGTAAAAGGTAGCAAATTTGGCTCGAAACAAAAGGCAGAAGCCAAATTTATATGTTCACAGAGCTGACTCAACATAAGATAAATTCCTTCCCCAGGTCAGCCTTCCATTAAGCCATCCTCCTGTGAAATATGAAACTTCACAACCATGATGCACAAATATGAAGCATCATTCAACATCCTGCTTGCCATCAAATAACTCTGAGGTAAATAGACTGCTCTAACTTTTATCTGAGCCTAATTTGCACAAAATGAACTTTTTCAACCAGATCTTACAACACCTTTCAGTTCTCCTGTGAAATACGAATTTTCATTTCCACCTAAGAGAAATTTTACAAACTTTACACTCTTCTATCCCTGAAGAAGGGTGCATGTGCCCAAAAGCTTGCAAATAAAGATTGTTTTTTAAAGTATCTAGTTGGTCTAATAAGAGATATTACCTCTACCAGGAGTCCTGATTGCTTTTGCCTGTAGACCAACATGGCTACAACCTGTATCCTTGACCCAGCAACAAACTTAGTGTAGACAGACTCTCACATTCCTGTGCAGCACCACTTAAGTTAATGTGGTATGTAGTAGCCGAGGTTGACCTGAGAGAGGTTTATGCCCACAACTGAATTGTACAATTCCACAGCTGGATTATGAGAATGACAGTTTGGGAGCTGCAGTCTTCTCCTTACCCATTGCAAGTTTCCACATGCTACCCAGTCTGTGGACTTCACTTAGGAGGGAGCCAGCACCCATTCTATCCATGACCTCTTTGCGATATCTGCTACCCAGGATGCTGACTGGTGCCAGTTCTAACAAGAGTTTAATGATGCAGCAGGCTGTCCTCTATGGGCTGGATGGAGACCACCAATCTGTTTTATGTAGCCCCCGAACATCCATCAGATGGAAACAAATTATGGTTACAGCTGAACTGGCCATAGTCAAAATGAAATTTTGAGCTCACAGGTTTGAAAGCTCATTACCCTAAGCTGTCCACTGCCCCAAAATGCGTTTAATTTCACATCAAAGCCTGTTCCCTACATATTATTTTTAAAGTGTCATGAAAGTCTGTCTATTTTTCTTCATTCTTTTCTTCTATGACATTTTTACTTGCTGTGTTTAACATGGAAAATCTTAATCACTTTCCCTTTTTGAATACACATTTCTGGAATGAAAACTCTGTGAATGCGAACAAATTTATAACACTTGCCTCCAAAGAGGAAGAAGAGATATAGCAAGAGAACTTTGTTCTAGGAAAAGAAACCTGGCTTGCTGGTCCTCCAGGGTTATCTCTGCAAATTTTCATCAGATCTAAATATATAAAGGCAGTAGGAGAAAGTGAAGTGGGCATGAAGGTATTCTAAAACATGAGAAGGAATGACAGGTGGATACAGTACAAGATGTAACACACATTTGTTAAGATGAAATGTAAAATGATCCTTCTGAATTCCCATTCATCCACACTAAAACGATGTTTCCTATCTCTACGTGCATTGCAAGATTCCCTAACAGACTGTGAAATTATTGAAAAAGACAGGTTATTTTTGAACTCATATTTGATTTGCTATCTAGCTGGGTAAAGAATATGAAGGTAAGCAACATGTAAGGTACTAGACACAGATTCTTGACTTCTGAGCTGAGAGGACATGGGCGTGCCTTCTAAACATCTAGTTCAGCCACTGTTTATGTTTCTCCTACAGTGCGGGCATGTCAGATGGGCATTGGGTTTCAGCCTCAAGTTAATCATTAAGGGCCCAACCCTGGTTCAGATGCGAGGAGCAGTTTTCTTCAGCAGTCTTTTGGAGCCCACACACTCTATCTTTCTCAGCTGGTGTGACTGCCAAAAACGCTATTTCCCGTGACAAGAATGTTAAGCCTTTGAAACTGAAGCTTCTAACTGAAGACCCTAACATTTTTCTGGAAAAGTGC